AAAGGTCTCCAACAGTGGATAAGCCAGCCGTGCCCTGAGATGGACGCTGGAGGAGCTCAGTGGGTCCCTGCCGAACATGAGGAACCAGGTCTAGTCACAAGGAAACAAAATCAACTGGCCTGCACTCCAGTGTCACAGAAGACCCAGATAAAGGTGACCAGGGTGCCATGGCCAGCACGTGTGTCATGTGCCTCTGGATAGAGCTGCCCTAAAGAAGAAAGCGCAGCACGGAACAGCACTGGGGCCACTGGTCAGTTGGCGCACGGGCTGTGGGTTGGATAATGGCCCTGTAGCGATACTGCAATTCCTGGTTCTGAGAATACGCTATGATTACGTGAGAGGGTGCGCTTACCCCTGAAAAACAACACTGAAGTAACCGGGGTGAAGGAACACAGGGTCTCCACCTACTCTCAGTAGGGAATGACGAGATTGCATGCAAATATATGAGAAACCTCAGAAAGGCTTGTGGGAAAACGGAACTAAAGTACAAGTCGAAGGCCAGCCAGTGGCCTGGTCGTTAAGGCACAGATCTCACATGCCTGACACCATGGCACATGTCCTGGTCCCAGTGGTTTGAAAAACATGCCAGGTGTGTGTGCATGCATGCCCAACATCCTGACAGGGAAACAGAGAAGGGATTGTGGTGTGGCCATCTCCCTCGGGGGTGGTTTCTCACATTCTCTCTCTGTCTCTCTCCAGCAAGTGCTTGTGCCCTACAAGAAAAGAAATTTTAAAAATTAAGTACCCATGTATTTTGTGTAAACAAAATGGAAATCCATGCATAGTTTTTTCAGAATACATACTTTCCCTAAATTTTTGAAGCCCTCCTGTATGTATCCAAAGGTTCCTAAAACAATCCCTATTGTAAAATCAGCCCTTTGCAAACAATATTTCCAGAAAAATATTTGTACCTGTTTTCTGCTCTGCTGCATTTTTTGAGATGATTACATGCTTATGCTAGAGAATGGCATGTTGCCAAAGCCAGAGGGCTGCCTGCTGGAGTTTCAATAGTGCTCATTATGAAGAAGAAGTTTCTATTCCTACCCCTGGAAGGAAAAAGCCACTCACAGATAAAGTGTATGATATGATTACCATTGCTTTAGATAACCACAAGTATTACTTCCGACATGATAAGGGATTGTTTTCTGTCTCGATGGTACAGAGCTTGGCCTTGCCTTTTTGAGAAGAAGTAGTGGCATTTTTGAAGGCCACTTGATCAGTTTGGAACCTGTGGGAGCATGGGGTTGCCATGCAGATAAAAATCAACACTGGTTTCAACTACCACGGCAATTGCAGCAAAAGTAGGGATGCCTTGGAAGGAGGTTTGGAAACAGGGGAGCCAAAGGCCCTAGTGATTCTGGCAAAGTTATTTAGAGGCCTTGTGATTAAACACTGAGCCTTGCAGGATCTGTTAGACAGTTCCTTTCCTCGTGCTAACCTCATTAGGATTAAGCTCATTGAGAGAATGCTCAACTTCTCAGAAGGGTGTGCTAATGAGGCAGATTTACTTTTAAATAGTCAGACAGGAGTGTTAGCTCTCAATACTTGATTTGTTGGAGAGGAGATGAACGGGGAAATTATAGGACTTATGAGAATTTATTGAATTAAATTTGTAGAAAGGATATTGAAACCCTACTCTTGATGCCAGGTGTGTGTGCATGCATGCCCAACATCCTGACAGGGAAACAGAGAAGGGATTGTGGTGTGGCCATCTCCCTCGGGGGTGGTTTCTCACATTCTCTCTCTGTCTCTCTCCAGCAAGTGCTTGTGCCCTACAAGAAAAGAAATTTTAAAAATTAAGTACCCATGTATTTTGTGTAAACAAAATGGAAATCCATGCATAGTTTTTTCAGAATACATACTTTCCCTAAATTTTTGAAGCCCTCCGCCCCACATATGTGTGAGAAGAGTATTCCGTAAAAATTATAGAAGGCCAGGGACCAGCAGTTAGTGTAATGGCTATGTCACTGGATTCCCATGTAGTCGACCGCGGTTCGCGTTCCGAACCCAGTGGCTTAAAACTCACGCCGGGCGCGTGTGCGTGCATGCCCGGGATTCAGAGAGGAGAATGGAGGAGAAGGAATTGCGGCGTGGCCATCCCCCCTGGGGGGTGATTTCTCGCTTTCTGTTTCTCTGTCTCTCTCTGTCTGTCTAGAGAGTGCAACCTGATAGCAAAAACCCCCTAAAAAAAAAAAAAAAATTACAGGAGGCCATCATTTGGAACTAGCTCCCGCTGTAGGCCTCAACAGACCAGACCAAAATGAAGTCACTTGTGCTAAAATGCCCTCTCACCCAACTAAAATCCTTAGGAAACTGAGGATCCCAAAATAGACCAGTTTTTCCCGAAAATGAAAGATTGAAGTTTATTTGAACTAGCACTATAAAGAAATATAACATGGGGTTCAATAGGTGGTATGGTGGCTAAGGCACTGGACTCCCATGTGGTCAACCACGGTTCAAGTCCCAGACCTGGAGCTTTGAAAATCATGCCAGATATGTGTGTGTGTGTGCCCAATATCCTGACAGGAGAATAGAGAAGGAACTGCAGCATGGCCATGCCCCTGGGGAGTGATTTCTCACTTTCCCTCTCTGTCTCTGTCTCTTTCCAACAAGCACACATGCCCTATGGCAAAAAACTAAGTGGGGGGGGGGACCCTCTGGAACACCTGTGACTTTCTTAGGAATGTGAACTCCTGCTTTGCCTCACCCCTGAGTACCAAGCATCTGAAACAGGACACTTAAAATATCTCAAGATGTGACCTAGATTCATTGAAATTTTTGTTTTATAAACACCCTGATTGCCCGAATACATTCCTTCTTTACTTGCAGGCGGTTTCTGCACTTTAAAGGAGCGAGTCGTCCTGGGCCCTTACAGAATTTAGCCTTTCACTGCAGGCCCAGGCTCCTCGCTGTTCTCTTTTCCCATTTAAGACTTTTACCTTCAAAACCATTTTGAAATCTGTAAGACCTTGGTGCATGGTATTCGTGGACTCACCAAGGGGACTGAGGAAAGGACGTGGGACTGTCATGTGGCACAAGCAGGAGGTCAGGGCTGCCTGGCGGGGCCCTGGTATGAAGTGAGTTCGCCCTATGAGGAGGGTCTTCTGTTTGCTTCAGCCTCGTGCCCTGAGTCCTCGTAGGACATGAGTGGGTGCTCCATAAACACCAGGTGAAGGGCTGAATAGATTCGTTGAGACGAATCAACATGTACCTGTTTGGGCCAAACCTAGATAAGCACACCCCACGTCTTCAGCCCTACCTTCATGTGTGAACTCAGCAAGCCGACTAGCTGCCAGCCCTGCAGCTGAGACAACCCAGGGCCACCTTTTCCCTAAGACTGTCCCCTCCTATAGTTCCAGGGATTGTAGTCCTTGAAAGACAGTGAGAGAGCTCAGCTAATACTGCTCTCCGTGTTCTTCTCCCACCCACCCCCCCAGTCCAGCAAGAAGGGCGATGGGACGCACCCCATCTGCATTCCCCGGATGAAGCTATTACATCAGGCCAGGATGCCTGACCCACATAGCTGGAAGTACGTTCCTACTGAGCAGCAAAGCCATAGAAGCCGGGCTGAGGACACCCATGTGTGGGGCTCACGACCAGCCAGGCTGCAGGAGGCCCCGAGAGAGCCCCACCATTGGGCCCCCTGACCTGCCCACTCCCTTGGAGGGTCCCAAGGAGGCACCCATGGCAAGCCATGTGGCAATCAGGTCAAAGGCAGGGCTGGCCCTGGAATCCCCCATTTAATAAACAGGATCCAACTCAACACACCTGTGTATGCTTGCCCAACAGTGACTCTTGCTTAAGAATTATTTTTAAATCCAAGGGAGGGAAATAAAAAAACAAACAAAAAAAAAACAAGGTAACAAGTGACACAGAAGGGAAACAAACCCCTTTTCTGTATGTGTACTTTCAACAGACCTCGATGCATGCCTACTACAGACCGGCCCACACTCTGCCTTGGAAGGAAGTTTCCAGAATGAAGAAACTGACGAGGCGTAGGGACTTAGTTGGGATCAGCTGACAGAGACACCGCTGTGGAATCAGTGGGCTTCTTCTACAGATGAAGACATGAAGCTCAATTAGACTAGTCACAACCCGTGAATCCCAGGGCAGGATCAGAATTCAGGCTAGGCATACAACTTTGAGACCAAGCTAAAAAACAGCAGCTTCAAGGTCTGATTGCATGTGGTTAAGGGAGCCAAATCCCACAGGGCTGACCCCAGCCCACGTCCCAGGCTCGATGGCTTGAGAAACATGCCAGGCACATGCGTGTGTGTGTGTGCCCCAAATCCCAACAGGATGGAGAAATGGAGGAGGAGGGACCCCCACTTCACTGCGTGGTGCTTTCTCCCTCTCCTTTTCCTCTCTCTTTCCTCTCTGGTAAGCATACATGCCTTCTAGCAAATACATAAAAAAGAAAGAGAGAGAAAGAAAGAAAAAGATAAGAAGAAAGAAAGAGAAAGAAAAGAAAGGAAGAAAGAGGAAGGAAGGAAGAAGAAAACAAGCAAGCTGCAGCTTTGGTGTGTGGCCAGTTACCCAATTCCTTGATCTTCTGGCAAAGGAAGTACCTTGCAGAATGGGAGGGTCTTATATTTTAGGAGGAGACCCGTACCACGTGAATACGTCAGGATGGAGCAGTGAGTGATGGGGACTGGTGTCCCAGAAGCTGCTGCAGCCCAAGGAGGTGGAATGAGCCAGCCCAGAGGCCCAGGAGGGTTTCCTGGAGAAAGGGACCTGCCTGGAATTGAGCTTTGTTCAAAGACTAGCTAGGTTTTTGTTTTTTTAAAGAGTCAGTTTATTCATGGGAGAAGAGGCGAGACCAAGCAGAGTGCATTCCATACAAAGGCCAAGAGGCAGAAGCCAAAGAGACCTGTGTAGGAAAGGCCCTGGGGCAGAGCTGTGAGTCAGGTTGCAGGAGTGGCTGGGAGGCGGAGCACCGTTGCGCTGACTGGGGGCCAGGCAGGAGAGCTGGGTTTATAGCAGCAGCCAGGCTAGCTGCTGCCGAGGACTGTGCAGCATGCTGTGTGCGCTGCTTCTCCTGCCCAGCCTCCTGGGGGCCACCACGGCCAGCCCGATCTCAGGCCCCCAGGAGTGTGCAAAGGGCTCTGAGGTGTGGTGTCGGGACCTGCAGGCAGCAGCAAGATGCGGGGCCATGGGGCACTGCCAAAGGACTGTCTGGAGCCAGCCCACCGCCAAGTCCCTGCCCTGTGACATATGCCAGGAAGTGGTGGTCGCTGCCGGCAATGGGCTGAACCCGGACGCCCTGGATTCCGACATCCTGAATCTGGTGATGAAGACCTGCGCGTGGCTTCCCAGCCAGGAGGCCTCAGCCAGATGCAAGCAGATGGCAGATGCTCACAGCTTGGCCATCCTGAGCATGATCCACGGAGACCCGGCCAGCGCCCCAGCACAGGTGTGCAACTCGCTCAGTCTCTGCGAGCCGCTGCAGAGGCACCTGGCTGCTCAGGGGCCACTCTCTGAGGGGGACGTGTCTGAGGCATTGGTTCCTTTCATGGTCAACGGGCCCCTCAGCTTCCACCCTGCACAGGTGCCCAGGGGCGCTATGTGCCGGGACTGTGTCCGGCTCCTCTCCTGGCTGCACGATGCCATGCAGTCCAACTTGACCTTGTCAGAGCTGAATGTCCAGGATCACTGTGAGTCCTTGGGGCCAGGCCTGGCTCTCCTCTGCAAGAACTACACCCTCCAGTTTTTTGCCTCTGCTGAGCAAACTCTGAGACTTCTCCCGCCACAGGAGGTCTGTGGGAAGGGGGGCTTCTGTGAGGAGGCAGGAGAACCTGCCCACCTGGCTCACGTGGATGCCGTGGATGAGGACCCTTCCCTGGAGCTGGGTTGGCCGAGGAAGAGGAGCGAGCTCCAGATGACCTCTGGTGTGACCTGCGAGGTGTGTCTGAAAGTGGTCCAGGAGCTAGACCAGTGGCTCCAGTCCAACAGCACCGCGGCGATGATCAGTCACGCCCTGGAGCGCGTGTGCTCAATCATGCCCGCCTCCATCGTCCAGCAATGCATCACCATGGTGGACACCTACAGCCCCTCCTTGGTGGAGATGGTGAGCAGGGTCACCCCAGAAAAGGTATGTACCACCATCCGGCTGTGTGGCAGCCGGAGGCGGGCCCGGGCAGTCCATCGGGCCCATGCAACCACGCCGTCCCGGCAGCTGAATGATCCGGAAAACCAGGGCAGCTTCTGCAGTGGGTGCAAGAAGCTGCTAGACAAGTCCTCCCAGAATCTGGACCGCCAGAGCACCAAGAGGGAGATCCTGATGGCCTTCAAGCGCGGCTGCAGCATCCTGCCGCTGACCTACATGATACAGTGCAACCACTTCGTCACCGAGTACGAGCCCGTGCTCATCGAGAGCCTCAAGGACATGATGGACCCCATGGCGGTGTGCAGGAAGGTGGGGGCCTGCCATGCCCCCAGGACCCTACTGCTGGGCACCGACCAGTGTGTCATGGGCCCGAGCTTCTGGTGCCAGAGCTCCGAGGCCGCCAGAATGTGTGATGCTGTGCAGCACTGCGAGCAGCACGTGTGGAAGAGGCCCTCCTCCCAGGATGGGGCCCAGGCGTGATGGAGCCCCCAGAGACCCAGGGCCAGCCGCGAGTCTCCCAGACTCAAAGGGCCCTATGCAGTGGGCGCTGTCCCCATCCCCATTACACAGATGAGAAATAGGCCCTGAGGGGGCAGGCTGGAGGAGGGCAGAGCTGAGATTCACAGCCAGCTATTTCCGATCCCGAAGATCTGTCTCAACAACTACTCCAGGTAGCGCTGACCTTGCAAATATCTTTAAGAAACTGGAACAGATGATGTCCACCACCCCAACTCTGGCCAAAATTGTCCCTTAGTCACGGTCACCGTGATGTTGCCGATGGTCTTGGGAGAGCCTGGCAGGGGCTTTAGGGCCCCCGCTACCCCTTGCTAGACAAACATGGCAGCTGTGAGACAGCCTGGGATCATGGCTGGGTGAGTGAGGCAGGCGCTGGAGGGAGGTGTGACAACAGGCCACGACTAGTGGGACCGATCCCTCTTGTCAACAGCTGGGGCCTGGGGGCCGGGACTCATCTGCAGCCACCATCACTCAGGTCAGAACTTCTCAACCCAGGTGCTTGGAGTGACCCCACAGGTACAAGTGAGCGCTCCCTAGACTCTTTGGAGAGGAGTCTGAGGCTTTGGCCCAGTTCTCCGAGAGGAACTGGGGCTTCTGGGTGGTCCTTCCAATGACTCAGCCCACCTTGGGGACCCTTCTCTTGTACCCCAGCTTCTCAGCCACCCTGGTAATGAGCAGAAGGAAAGTCTTGGAGTGTGCTAAAAATCCAGAGGGCAAACTATGCTGTGTGAAAGCCCCAGGAATAGCCCAGAGGGTGCTGAGCGGCTGCTGGGCTGTGTGGGAGGGAGGGTCAAGGAGGGCCTGTGACGCTCGGCACGCCCCTTCACCTGCCGAGCCACCATGTCTAGTCTGTGGGACAGGGATGGGCACGCCTGCCTCCTGGGGATGTTGAGACAGTTCAAGGAGATGCGGATCTCAACCCCCACCAGAGAGCAGGATCTGTCTGCCTCCAGAGACCAGCGGAACCCGTCTCTGGAGGCCACTTGGGTCCCCAGAAGAGTCCTGCTGTGCGCCTACTTCATAAACCACAAGCATAAACTAAATGGTGTTTGCCGTGTTTTTGTCCTCACAGAAAGCTGTGTTCCCAGGGCTGCTGTGACAGCCCCTCCTAGCTCGTCCATCCAGGTGTCCCTCCCCGGGAGGCCTCCCTGGGGCTCAGCCTGCATCAGGTACCCACCGAGGTCTCCTGTGCTGTGTGGGCCAGCACTCGGAGAGCCCACAGGGATGCCTGCAGTGTGGCACCTTCCCTCTTCCCGAGCCCCAGCACAGCACTTGTGGGACACACACAAGTCCCTGTGGCGGAGGCACCATCCCGCAGGAGGGAAGCAAGTCCCATTCAGGTCACTCTCCTCTCTAATTAGAGGCCCGACTTGGCAGAGACAAGAGAGGCACACCTGGGCTCTCAGGTGGGAACAGCCCTGGCCAGCACCTCAGGGGCACAGGCATGCCGGGCTTCTGCTGGCTGTGTAGCCCTGGGGTATGAGGCCAGCCGGGGCTCACGCTACCCACTAGGTTCCAGATATGGCTATGAAGGGACAGCTGGGCTGACCATCTGCAGTCTTCCCCCAAAGGCCACCACCAACTCTAGGAATGGTCACACCTAGGACACCCCCCAGACTAGGATGGAGCTGCAGCCCAGACACACCTGTTGACAGTGATGGGTGACATGTCACAGCTTCCCTGACGTGAAATGCCCCCACAATGTCACTGGCCACAAAGACTGGCCTTCAAGAGGCCAGGAGAAGATAAGTGCCACATCCCCCAAGGGACCGGTCTACACAGAGCTAAACTGCTTTTCTATCCTTTGGCTCTGAGCTCACCCACCTTCCCTCCACCCAGAGCGACTGCAGCAGCGGTCAGGATGAGACCTCTGCATGTCCCTCCCCTCTACACCCGCTCCCTGCCAGGCCTGGACCCAGCTGCTCCCACAGACCCAAGGACTGAAGACATTCACATGTTGGCTAGCTACAGTCCACGTGTGGAGCATGCCTGGCAGTGACCCCACAGGTCCAACTCTGTGCCTGGGGGTGGCTGGGCCCCGGTCCTGAGCACTGCATGCTTCCCACCCAGGTACAAGGGCCCGTCTGCTCTCTCCATTGCCCGTGTCATCACTGGCCCCACACCAAAGCCATGGAGGCCTCCAGCAGGGTCTTGCTCCCCGACCAAGCCCAGAACATGGTAGACACTCAGCCAACATCTGTGTGGGTGGCAGCCTCAGTGCTATGGCAGAGAGGCAGGAGGGACGAGGGAGGATACTCTGGGGGTGAGAGCGGCCGCTGCCACTTGGGCTTCACAAGTCTGTGGACCCAATGCCCACTCCATCCAGGGGCTGGAAAAGGATTTTCAGAAGGAAAAGGGCCACACTCAAGTTTCCTCTCTTTCCAAACCTCAGACCAGTGCTGACATGGACTTGCCAGTGGGGTTCCTGCCCCAAGCCTGGACTTCGGTTTCATTTAGGGTCCTGCTCCAGTGCAAGGGATGGAGTGAAGCCAGCTTCCTTCAATTACTCAGAGACTGTCAAGAGCCCGAGCCCACCACATAAGGGCTTGTCTTCCCGTTCCAAAAGGCCCCCTAAGTGATTCCTGGGGGGCTGCGGCCGAAGACCTGTGAGTGCTGGATGCCTGTTCATGCCCCTCGCAGCAGGCCTAGAAATGACCCCATCGCCCCAGGTTCCCTTCACTGAGACCTTCCTTGTATGGAGGGGTCCAGCTTCCATGACCTCCCCAGTAGGGTGGTCCTCATGGCCCCATTGCTCTGAAACATGGCCCCCTTGTTACCTGGGGTCAGGCCTGACTCGGCAAGACTAGACATTTCTAGAAGCCATGCAGTGGAGCAGAGAGAGCGCAGGCTTTGCAGATGGGCACGTCTGAGGCCCACTTTGCCACTCGCTGTGTGACCTTGAGCCAGATACTTAAGAGCTCTGAACCTCAGTTCCCCCGTGAACATATGGATAACAAAAGTACCCTCCCCAGTGGGATGTGCCCGGGGCCTAAGTGAGGTAACCACGGCAGAAGCACCCTCATGCCACCAGGCACACACATCGATGCCACAGGCCTCCCTCCCTGCACCAAGGCTCTGCCGTCTCCTACAGCGGAGAGAACATGGCAACCCAGCTCGAGCCTGTGCCAGCCGGAGACCTGGGAGCTGTGTCCAGCCCTCCCAGCTTCAGTGTCCAGAATGTCCTGAAAGAGCCTGCTGGCCAGGTGACCACTTACAATCAACCTGTCTGATTGCCCCATAAACACCTGTTTTTTTGAGTCAATCTAAATTATGATGTTGATGAAGAGAATCCGACAGGCCCAGCGGTAGTGGATAAAAGAGAAGCAGTTCCCCCTCTGTCTCTCTCCTCTTCCTCATGATTTTACCAAAAACAGAGAGAGAGAGAGAGAGAAGGAAGAAAAGAGATGGAATTTTGCTCTCAGTAATCGAAATATTTTTTTTATTTCTGAGTCTTCCCTTCAGGAAGTGGCATCTATAATTCTTTGAAAACATGGTGCCCACTAAGGGCTCCCAGGAGCCATCCCCAGGTGAGCGGTGTGTCCCTTTGAGAGCTAGGTGGGGTCCCTGGCCAGCAAGGCCAGCAAAGCCTTCCTCAGTTATCCACCCGGCTGAGGTGGAGACAGCCCTGGCTGGCCCCAGACCCGTGATCTGCTCACTGAGAAGAAGAAAAGCTGTCTGAGGAATAGCCAACCCAGGGATGCCTCGCCAGGAGTAACAGGTCTGGTGCACAGCGGCAGCTCCCCACCTCGGCCGGCAGCTCCAGGTCTGCAGCTCAACACCGCAGCAACTGTGGTTCCGTCCAGGGCAAATGTGCCGATGGGTAACGGGATGTGGAGATGGGAAACCACGATGCTTTCTGGTCCTCCCAAGTCCCTCGGGGAAAGGGCCGGCGAGTCACCCTTCTAGAAACCTGGGATGCAGGCCCACTCCCCAGGACTGGACCATAGCTCCTGGTGCCTTGATCTCCCTTCTGTAACCAGGAGTCGGGCTACATGGAGTAGTCCAAGCTGAAAACCCCTGGGAGCCCAGAAGTGTGGACAGTAGCAGGGCCTAGGTCCGTCCAGCTGTCTGTCCTGTAAGAACGCCGGCCCGCTGCCGCCCTCCCTCCAGTTCCTCCGGCAGGGTCAAATTCCCAGACTGCTGATGTGCGACTTGGTGATTCCTGGATGCTGACAGCTCAACACTGCGATTTTAAGGTCCTCTGCTGGCCAAAGCAAACAGGCCTGAGGATCAGACAGGCCCCTCCACAGCCATGAGTCTGCTGCTATCAAATGAATGCAATCGAGGGCCCAGGCCTTCTGACAACTATGTGATGCGTCAGAAGCTTGGGATGCTTCCTTTTGAATCCTTGACCAAGCCCAAGAAAGGAATCAAATGGCTCTGGCATCAGGTCCTGATCCTGGAGGGGACTGTATATGGCTTGAGCCACCATCATTTATGTAGGATGTGGTCATAATTGCAAAATCAAGAGGAAAGTTTTGCTGCTCCCAAACCAGTTTCTCAGGCTGGCCTACCCGAGGACAGGAGGGAAACAAGCCACCGGGACAGACGGGCAGAGAGGCACCCTCCTCAGGCAGGCGCCTTCGCCACGGGCTTGTCTCAGTGGGGAGCTTCCTGCTCATTTTGTCCCCACGGGGACAGGCAGCAGTTACTTGCCAAAGGTGACTCAGGCCAGTCCTCGGGACTCCGGAGGCAAAGGCCATCCACTATAGTCAAGACAGGGGCTCGGGGTGGGCAGTAAAACTGGAGATCTGAGGCTCTGGCATTGCTGTGCTCTCAGCTGGTCTTAGTGAGGAGAGTCTGATACTCTGGACAGTGGAAGGACGAAGGAAGCAGGAGGGAGAGGATCCCAGGCAGCGTCCCGAGGCACCCCATTCCGAGAGGATCCGGGTTCAGTCTGGAGCTCATCCTCAGTGGGGCAAGGTCACGGGAGGGCAGGAGGATGCACTCCACCTTCCTGCTG